AACTCCTGGGCTCAAGCGATCCTCCTGCCTCAGCCTCCCGAGTAGCTGGGACTGCAGACATGCGCCACCATGCCCGGCTAATTTTTTCTATATATTTTTAGTTGTTCAGATAATTTCTTTCTATTTTATTTTAGTAGAGACTGGGTCTCACTCTTGCTCAGGCTGGTCTCGAACTCCTGAGCTCAAACGATGCACCCACCTCGGCCTCCCAGAGTGCTAGGACTACAGGCATGTGCCACCATGCCCGGCTAATTTTTTCTATATATTTTTAGTTGTCCAGATCATTTCTTTCTATTTTATTTTAGTAGAGACGGAGTCTCACTCTTGCTCAGACTGGTCTCGAACTCCTGACCTCGAGCGATCCTCCCGCCTCGGCCTCCCAGAGTGCTGGGATGACAGGCGTGAGCCACTGCGCCCGGCCCAGACAACACAACACTTTCTGCTGAACTCTGTTACTGAGGGGGCCCTGGGACCGTTACCTCGGCCGGTGTTGACGGTCGTGGGGCTAAACGCCTTCCACACGATGGTCTCGCAGATGTTGGTGGCAATGAAGAGCGAGATCCCAGAGCCCAGGCCGTACCCTTTTTGCAGGAGTTCATCCAAAAGCAGGACAATTAGGCCAGCAACAAAAAGCTGCAAAAAGTTTAAAAATAAAAATGAAGCAACCCAAAGAGCCCATGTGTCACTGCTCCCCAGGGACGTGGGTCTGTCCTGCTTCGGTAATTGGGTTCTGATCCGAATGCCGAAGGCTCGGCGGGAACGCGTGAGCGGCGCCTGCCTTGGCCGAACTCGGGAGGGCAGACCCGGGTCTCTGGCTGCGGTGGGTGCCAGGCCTTTCCGTGTGGCCGCGATTTGTCATCTGAGAACTGCCGGCGGGGGCGAGGGGTGCTCGGAAGGGGGAGGTTAGCGGAAGAGTCACCTGGATGGTGATCAGCAGGCAGATGCCAGCGCCCATCTCCGAAGGGTCCCCGTACATTCCCGTCATCACGTACACGATGGACTGGCCAATGGTGATGATCATGCCGAACACTGGAATCGGAGGAGAGCTGTGTTTGCAAAGTGGACGCCACTAGGGAGCGGAACAGAGGGACCCAACACCCGCTCCACGGCAGGCACCAGGGAAAACAAGGATGGAGAATGCTGATGTTGCCTCCCGGGGGCTTGGCTGAGGGGACAGGTCAGGTCACTTGGGAGCTGCATGGTCCACGGGTGACCCGCACAGCTGGGCCATCTCCACGGGCTCACCCTGCAGCCCCGAGACCCGAACACAGAACGCTGACTTTGGGATAAAGCGATCCCTTCCCAAATTTGTGTTTAATGTGTTCTTAAAAGGAAAACCAGACAGTAACATCAATCTGGTTATTAGTCCCATCCCCTCTGCTGCCAGGCTCTTTTGGTCTAACATTTTCCTTCCTGTACATTATCTCAAAAAAAAAAAAAAAA